TCTTGCCGGAGACCAACTGGTTCCACACAGCTGGCCAGGCGCAGCAGCAGATCCATGAGAGCTGAGGTGCCTATGTGCTTCAGCATCAGGCTGATGAACTTCTCCTTCTTCTTCAAAAACATGATCACCTGAGGTCAAACACGCCTAGTAAGTAATCAGGTTTCTGACAGGAAGGAACACCTTTAAGAGTTCTCATGAGAAAGATAACTTTCGATTATACTGAGAAGAAATGACAGAAAGACCAGGTAAAGGCTGTATGCAAAAATTCCCTCCCAAGACAGGTAGAGTCCTAGAGGCCAGTGACACAAGTGCAGGGTGACAGTGCCACTAACTGGACAGCATGTCTGGAGAGCAGTGCAAGTTAGCAGGCACAATCACACTGAACATGAGCTAGCTCAAGTGTGCCCAGCAGAAACAAAAGGCATAGAAAGAACCGGCTGAGATGAGAGTTGTAGTTTCAGAGCTACATTGAGGGACCTGTCTAAAAAAACGTCCTCCAGCCTCTTTATGCTGGTGTATGCACTGTCTTATACCACGCACATATATACAATAATACACAGTAATAAATAAACAAGTTAACTTGTAAAACATGAGAAGTTAATTAAATAGCTTCATAACCAATTTGTATGCATCTTTAAAAAATAAAAAATTTTCAAAAACTCCAATTAACTAGTAAGGTGGCCCATGCCTTTAATACCAGCACTTGGAAGGCAGAGACTGGTGGATTACTGTGAGTTCAAGGCCACCTGGTCTACATAGTTCCAGGGCAGCCAGGACAACATAAAAGAGAGACTCTGTCCAAAAAAAAAAAAAAAAAAAAATGGGGAAGCAACAAACAAACAAATCAAATAAACCAGGGTACATGCCAGTAATCCCAGTCTGTGGAAAGCAGAGGCAGGAAGATCAGAAGTTCAAACTCATTCTCAGCTACATTGAAAGCTCAAACCCAGCCTGGGCTGCACGAGACATTCTTAGACAAATAAGGAACACTGTTAAAAGGGGGAAGACTCCAGGGCTCAGTGGATAAAGGCACTTACCACCAACCCTGACAGCCTAAGTTTCATCTCTAGAATCCATACAAAGGTAGAAAAAGAAAAGTGACTAGACAGAGTTGTATTCTGACCTCCATGTGTATACCACAGCATCATAGACACAAACACAAAAATGGCAATTTTTTATTTATTTATTTTTTTTTTTACTTATGTGTATGGGTGTTTTGCCTGCATGAATGTCTGTGCACCATGTTTGTGTAGTGCCTGTGGAGACCAGAAGAGGGTGCTGGATCTCCTGGGACTGGAATTACAGTTTTGAGCCACCATGTGGGATTTGAAACCTGGATCCTCTGGAAAAACAACCAGTGCTCTTAACCCCTAAGCCATCTCGGGAAACTGTGGTAGGTATGTAAAAAAATGGAAAAAAAAATGTTAATTGAATAAAAAATATTTTTAAAGATTATCTAAACTGGCAGGAAGAAAATATTAGTCCACATGACCATCAAAAGAAATATAATTTGTTTAGAGAGATGGCTCAGTGGAGAAGAGAATTGGCTGCTCTCCCAGAGGTCCTGAGTTCAATTCCCAGCAACCACATGGTAGCTCACAACCATCTATAATGAGATCTGATGCCCTCTTCTGGTCTGCAGGCATACATGCAGGCAAAACACTGTTTACATAACAAATAAATAAATCTTAAAAAGAAAACAATACAACTCACTGGGTATGGTGGGGCATGCCTTTAATCCCAGTACTTGGGAGGCAGAGACAGGTGGATCTCAGTGAGTTTGAGGTCAGCCTGGTCTAAAGAGTGAATTCCAGGATAAATAGAGCTACACCTGTCTCAAAAACAAAATTAAACAACCCCCCCCCCAAAAAAAAAAAAAACAACAACAACAAAAAAAAAAGGAAATTAAAAGCCATCCCACTAAAGACCATAGCATAAGACTCAACAATAGAAAAGAAAAAGAAATCTAGACATGGTGGTATGTTACACAACTTTAATCCCAGTGCTTAGAAGGCAGAGGTAGACAGATTTCTGAATTCTGAGTTCCAACTTTGAGGCTAACATAGTCTTACTCTGTAGTAAGTACCAGGATAGCCAGGTGTATACATAGAAACTCAACTTTTAAAAGAAAGAAAGAAAGAAAGAAAGAAAGAAAGAAAGAAAGAAGGAAGAAAGAAAGAAAAATACACAACAATCAAGTTCGGTGCATTCCACAAATGCAATGTTGGTTTAACATTATATGAAGAGGGTTTTATTAATTTCAACAGCCATTGCTACTACATAAACTTTCAAAAAAGCTGGGACTCAAGAAAACTCCTTTAGGTTGCTTTTTATTTGTTTATTTGTGTCTATGCTAATGATTAAGCCCAGTGCCTTATACATGATAAGCAATATTCTACTATTGGGACAAAACTACCAGGTCCTTAGGGTTGATTTTTTTCTTAATTTACTACATTTATTTATTGTATGTAGCAGGACATGAGTGTACTACAGTACATGTGGCAGTCATATAGGTCCCAGAGATTGAATTTAGGTTATCTGGCTTGCCAGCAAGTACCATCTCTCTGGCCCCTTAAGCTTGATTGAGTGATTGATTGATTTAGAGTTCTGCAGGTCTTTTTTTTTTTTTTTTTTTTTTTTTTTTTAATTCTTTTTTATTTATTTATTTTTTTATTTTATATGTCCATCCCAGTTCCCTCTCCCTCCCTCTTACCCTCTCTCCCCCCTCACATGCACCCTGACCACCCCCCCTCTCATCCCCCCCACCCCCATTCCACATGTAGGGCTATGTTATCCAGGTGGGGTCATATAGATCTGTCAAGTCATTTGAAGTAGGGACTAGGACTTCTCTCCACTCTCTAGGTTGAGGGAGTATCCCTCCATGGAGGGTGTGTCCACAAGGTCCTTTTGTGCACCAGGAATACTGTCTGAGGTCCCTCAGACTGCTCAGTCCTTTTAGCTTGATTTATTTTTTTAAAGATTTATATTATTTATTATGTATTCTATCTGCATCTATGCCTGCAGACCAGAAGAGGGCACCAGATCTCATTATGGATGGTTGTGAGCTACCATGTGGTTGCTGGGAATTGGACTCAGGATCCCTGGAAGAGCAACCTTAACCTCTGAGCCATCTCTCCAGCCCTAGGCTTGAATTTTTAAGCTTTAGAGCTGCATATATAGATCACTTGGTTCAGTACTTGCCTAACATGCATGAAGCCCTGAGTTTGATTCCCAGCAACACAAACTGGATGCAGTGGCATATGCCTATACACCCAGCATTTAGCAAGTAGAGGCAGGAGTTCAGGGTTATCCTCAGATACACAGTAGGTCAGAGTTCAGAATGAGATACAGAAGAACTTGTGGACAGGATCAAAATACACTTAATGTATATATGAAATTCTCAATGTATAAACAAACACTAAATAAAATTTAAAGTAAAACACTAAAAACCTTTCAATAAGCACCTTAATTAATTTTTTTTCTTCTAAGGTAATAAATAACACAAAGACATTCACAATTAGCACTTCTATTCAATATTGAACTAAAGACTCCAGGCAATTCAGTAAGACATGAAAAAGAAAGAAAAGATATACAAATTATAAAGCATAAAATGAAACTATCATTAATTTGGGGCTGGAGAGATGGCTCAAAAGTTAGGAGCATTTGCTTTTGCAGAGGACCCAAGTTCAGTTTCCAGCACCAATATGGCTGCTCACAACCATCTATAATTCCAGTCCTGGGAGATCCAATACCCTCTTCTGACCTCCATGGGCACCAAGTATACATGTGGTACATATACATTCATGCAAGCAAAACACTCATTACATATAAAAAAGTTAGATCACCATTAATCATAAATGATATGATATTGTATGTAAATAAAACAAAAGGATATAAATTATCAGAGTAGCAGCTTTATTTCTCATCAGTAAAAATGGAAAGCAGAGTAAATGTCCTCCAACACATGAATGGGTGAACTACAGTTCACCCACACCATGCAATATTAAATAGCAATAAAGAAGGAATGAATCCCTGATAGACACAATTTGGATGACTATTTTGACTTGGATGAAATTACACTCAGTGAAGAGGCTGAGTCCTGAAGTCCACAAAGCACAAGGCTGGGGATATAGCTTAGTGCTTCAGCTCTTGCTCTGAGTTCAGTCTCTTAACATCATAAAACAAAAATGTGCAATTTAAGTTTGAGGTCAGCTTAGTTTATACAGCAAGTTCTAAGGCAGCCAGGGATACAAAGAAGGACCATGTCTTACAACAAAATGTACACAGTTGATAACCAATAAGAAAAAAGCAATAGTATTAACAGGGTAACTACTGACAATGAGTAAGGAAAAAGCAACAGTATATCAGAATAGGCTCAGCCAATTCTTCTTGTAGCCAAAAGCAGATACTGTATCCGGGCTAGTTTTTGTTTGAGTCATCTGAGAGTCAGAACTGAGAAAATGTCTCCATTCAATCAGCCTGTAAGGCATTTTCTTATAATTAATGATTAATGTGGGAGGGCCCAGTGCATTCTGGGTGGTACAACCTCTAGGTAGGTGGTCCCAGGGTGTATAATAAAAACAAACTGAGTAATCCAAAAGGGCGCAAGCCAGTAAGAAGTGCTTCTCCATGGCCTCAGCTTCTGGCTTTAGTTCCTGCCCGGATTTCATTTGTGATGGACTGTGACATGGAACTATAAGCTGAAATAAACCCTTTTCTTACCCAAGCTGCTTTTGGTGTTTTATCACAGCAACAGAAACCCTAAGACAGAAATTAGTATCAGGTTTGTGGGACATTGCTGACAGACCTGACAGTGTTTTTGGAAGGCCAGAGGAAGGACTTTGAAACTGTGAGCTAGAGAAGTCATAGAGTGTTCAAAGCTTGATGAGCTGTTTTGTGGAAACTTAGAAGAGAATGTAGAGAGCAGTGTAGATAATAGAGGCCTGCCTTGTGAAATTTCAGAGGGAACTTTTAGAGTCCCTAAAGACTCAACAGGTTGCTTGCTTTGGCAGCACATATACTAAAATTGGACCAATACAGAGAAGATTAACATGGCCCTTGTGCAAGCATGACACAGAATTGGTGAAGCATTCCATATATTTAGGATGCTAAAGAGTTAACTTTCCACAACTGATGATTTCTGGCAGGGGTGGGGGTAGGGAAGGACTTAGTTGTCTTTATGGGGGTTTGGCCATACTCCAGTGAGTATATGGGCAACACAAATTGGACCTTTTTTCAGGAGAGGGTCACAAGTGTAGGGGTGGACTTGGGAAGACTGGGAAGTGAATATGATCAGGGTTCATGATGTGAAATTTCCAGATAACTAATAAAAATATTATTTTAAAAAAAATGGGCTGGAGAGATGGCTCAGAGGTTAAGAACACTGGCTGCTATTCCAGAGGTCCTGAGTTCAATTCCCAGCAACCACATGGTGGCTCACAACCACAACCATCTGCAATAAAATCTGGTGCCCTCTTCTGGCCTGCAGGCATATATGCAGGCAGAATAGTGTATACATAATAAATAAATCAAAAACAAACAAACAAACAAAAAAACCCAAAAAACAAAAAACCCAAAAAACAAAAAACTTAACCAGTGCTATCAATATTTTGAAATAAGAATAAGAGAATATAAGTGACCAATAAGAGACTACAACCACTGACTAAAACAAAGCAAAACCTTTGCCTCACTGGGACAATTGAACTGATGCTGGTTAGCTGGAGCTAAGAAGTCACTCGATTAAGGGGGCAGCAAGACGGGGTGGTGATTGCATATACCTTTAATCCCAGCACTTTGTTGGATCTCTGTGAGTTAAAGGCAGGGAGCAGCAGGGGTTGGAGAAATGACTTAGAGGTTAAGAGTACTGACTGCTCTACCAGATGGACCCAACACCCACGTGGTGGCTAAGAACTGTCTGTAACTCCAGTTTCAGGAAACCTAACACTCATATCAAAAAACACCAATGCTCATTAAAATAAATAAATAAAAATTTAAAAAAAGAGCAGCTTTACTGAGCGGAAATCATGATCAGTGTTCAGAACCTGGTGCCAGCAGAACCTGTGCACCTCATGAGTGCAATGTCCACAGAGGCCAGACAAGGGTGTCAGACCCCCTGGAAATGCAGTTACAGGTGGCTGTGGGACTCCAGCTAAGTGTTAGTAATCAAACACAGGTCCTCTGGAAGAGCAGCCAGTGGTCATAACTTCTGAGCCATCTCTCCAGCACCTGGTACTTGTTTTAAAGGTATGAAGGGATCACAGAGAGACATTAAGGCTTAGCAACACTCCACAGGGTCAGAATCCCTGAATAAAGCCCAAAAGAGGTTACTGATAAAGTTATAGACAGTTGCAGTGGAGACCCCAACATTTTGAAGATGCCAGTACCATAAGATGACCACCAAGGACAGCAGTAGGCTGTAAGTGGTATTACGTGTGCTGTGGCAAGCCCTTTGGAACCCAGAAGATCTGACACTGAGCTTCATACTTTGGTTGGTGGACTCTGGTTTGATCTGACTGTAACTATGCTCTGCCTCTGCCTTTTTGAAGTGGAGAAAAGATGTAACTTATCTTTTATTTATAGGAGCTCTGAGTTGAGAGACTTTGAAGTTATAATGGCTTTGGGTATTTTAAAGAGGCTTTGAACTTTGAAAGAAACTTCAGATGTTTTAAAGAGACTGAACTCTTAAAATGTTTGACTTTTTAAAGACTGGGACTTTTAAAATTTGGAATGTTATAGCCAGGCATGGTGGCTCACACCTTTAATCCAGCACTCAGGAGGCAGAAGCAGGTGGATCTCTGTGAGTTCTAGGCCAGCCTGATCTACAGAGTGAGTTCCAAGACAGCCAGGGCTGTTACACAGAGAAATCCTGTATCAAAAAACACACAAGAAAGTTGGAATGTTTTATATTGTGCTATTAATATTAATATGAAATCTTGGGGATGAACAAGAAGGAAAAGGTTGGCTGGGTGGTGGTGGCTCACACCTTTAATCCTGGCACTCAGGAGGCAGAGGCAGGGTGGATCTCTGTGAGTTCGAGATCAGCCTGGTCTACAAAGTGAATTCCAGGACAGGCTCCAAAGCTACACAGAGAAAACCTGTCTCAAAAAACTAAAAAGGAAATAAAAATAAAAAAATAAACTCTAAAGCTTAAGAAAGAAAAGGTTAAAGTTTAATAATAATGTGTTTATGTGTCAGGTTAACAAAGGGTCAATTTTGCTGGTTAGGTTTTTTTTTTTTTTTTTTTTTTTTTTTCTTGTCAACTTGATACAAGCTAGAGTCAACTAAGACGTGAGAACCTCAACTGAGAAAATACCTCCATAAGGTCAGCCTATAGGCAAACCTATAGGGCATTTTCTTATTTGATGATTGAGGGCCCAGTGCATTGTGGGTAGTATCACCTCTGGGTAGGTGGTCCTCAGTGTATAAGAAAACAAACAGAGCAAGCCAGAGGGAGCCAACTAGCAAGAAGTATTCTTCCATGGCTCCCACTACAAGGATTGTTCCAGGATTATGCTTTGAGTTCCTGCCCTGACTTCATTTGATGACAGGCTTCCTCCCAGTTGCTTTCCGTCATGGTGTCTTGTCCCAGCACTACACACCTGAACTCACCTAAACTGAGGCACACATCATTTTGATATATCAAAGGCAACCTGTACACTTCAAGAACATTTAACAATATTAAGGAATTACTGTTCATGTTTTATGTGTGATGATGGTATTGTGGTTACAGCTATAAAGACATCTCATTTTTTATTTGTTTGTCTGTATATCTCATCTGATATCTGTAATTTTCTTCAAGATAATCTGACAAGGTTGACAATGAGGAGGTTCAAGTCAGGTGGTGGTGATGGTGGTGGTGCACACCTTTAATCCCAGTGCTAACTCTATGAGTTTGAGGGCAGCCTACTGCACAGAACGAGTTCCAGGACAGTTAGGGCAATACACAGAAACCCTATCTCAAAGAGAGAGAGAAGAAAAGAAGCAGCTTCAGAGAAAAATATTGGTCGTAACAGATAATGTAGAAGCCCAACTATGGAGACATGAGGGCTTAAAAACTAGTTTATATAATTTAAAGAGATTTGAAAAAATTGTCAGTCCTTTCCTTAACAGTCCTGTCTCTGGTCAGTCTATAATATCAGGAAAGCTCACCCTGCCTGCCATAGACAACCCTAGGAACAGACCAACTTCTATGTGACGGACAAAACAAAGGACTGTCATAATGAAGCAGATATTCCTATAGAAAAAGAAACACATGACTTATGTATATATGAGAAAAGCAATTTGTAGTTATTCAGTATGACACAATTATGTAAAAACTAACAACAATGTGTTACCTACTGAAAAAGTAGTTATTTTAAGGGGCACAGAGCCTAAATATTCCAGTCTTAACTTGAATTTCACATAAACATAATAAAAATTTTTTAAGAAGTTCATTTCATATTACTCTAATGCAGTGGTTACTAGATAAAGGGAGAAAACGGAAATATATGAGGATAGTAAAATTGTAAAGAAAGTCTGAAAGTGGCAAAAGAATACAATTAGGCTACAGTAAATTATAGATTCTAAAGTCCAATCATTGGGCTGCAAAGTCTAGACACAAGAGGTCTCTTTGAAACTCACAGTGAACACCCCACCCAGCACCTTTCTTCTCCTAGGGTATCTGCTTACATTCCTTCCCTATAGTACTGCTACCACCACTGCAACACTCGTGGGAAGAGGATATGAAGGCACACACGCATATACAAATACACATACATATACATGTGATATTGCCACTCCATTTCTGTTGTTCAAAACACATATGACATAAGACAGTCCTCTGGAGTTCTAGGGCTAAAGACAAAGACAAAATATGGGTTTGTTTGCTAAATGAATATTTGATGGGATTAAACTATTACAGCTAATATTTTAGAAGTATTTAGACATACTGAACTATTTACAAAAGAAATTATTTGACATCTAAGATATGTGTTTAATCATCCGATGGGAGTGGGTAAGTGAGGTGATGAGCTAGATGCTGAACACAGCAGGAGGGACAAGCTGCCATTACACTTTCCCTATTCATATTCACACTTTTATTTGTTTATTCACTTTGGTTTTTTGAGGCAGGGTTTCTCTGTGTAGCCCCACCTGTCCTGGAACTCACTCTATAGACCAAGCTGGCTTCGAGCTCAGAGATCTGCCAGCCTTGGCCCCTGAGTGCTGGGATTAAAGGTGTGATCACCACCACTCGGCTTTATATCCATATTTTAAACATAAAGTTAAATATAAGGTAGGAGAAGGACAGTGTTAGAGCTGAAATACTACTTTTCCCACAAAAGCCCAATTCTGAACATTATTATTGTTATTATTATTTTGCTTTGAAGCAATCACTATTCTGGCCACACAGATATGCCACTCACCAAGACCACAAAATGTAGATGTTCCAGGTCCCTCCACAGTGAGGGCATGTTATAGGACTTCATGTATTTATGCCTGATCAGGGGCTTGCAAAGCACCCAGAGAGGACAATAAGTACTTCTTATTCCAGAGCTGGCTACAAGAACATCTTTGGAAAGCCACTTTACTTAAACTACAGTTCACATATGAGCCACCCATACTGTTTATGTCTGTTAAGCAAACAAAATGCTGTCCCAAACTGGTGACAGCTTCACAGTGTCATCAGTGACTGTCCAATACATTTGGCATCATGTATCATTACCTGTTCAGTTTTTCTTGCAATTAGATTGCCAATGGTCTTGCTGAAAAAACTGGCAAGCAGAGGATTGAGTGGTGGATCCTGGTCCAGGAAGTCGTACAGAAGGTTCAGCAGACTCTCGTCCTCGCCTAGTCTGTCGCTGATCTGTGGCACATCACAAGTCAGAAGCTCACAGGCTGTGTTTGGATATCTAAAAGGGCACACAGTCCAAGCACTGGAGGTGAAATTAGACTTCTCTAACTCTTAGGAAGCAGACACATGTTAGGGCTGGAGAGAGAGCTCAGTGGTTAAGAGTATGTATTGCTCTTCCAGAGGACCTGAGTTTAACTCCCAGTGCCCATGTCTGGTGGCAGAGCCACCTGTAACTACAGCTCCAGGTGATCCAACACCTCTAGCCTCTAGGTA